CAGCAGGAAGGCCAGATGGGATGTGCCCAGCTTTAAAGAGAAAGTCTGCAGCTCCAGGGGCAAGAGCTTCCAGAGGGAGGCAGTAAATATTTGATGGGACCTTCCAGTTCTTCCTGACTCAGGTGACCCTGGTGACATTTCAGAACATGGAACTGGAAAACAGCCTTCATTTTATGACTGAGGAAATAGAAGCAGAAAAGCACATGAGCTGAAGTGCTCTGAGCTCACAAAGGGCCCAGGCAGGCAACTCCTGCAAGACTGCAAAGAAAGGGCCCTTTTTCCAGAAATGAAGTCAGATCGCCGGCAAACTAAATAACCAGAGCATGTGTGATCCTGGGCCAATGACCTACCCTTCCAAACTGCTAGACTGTAAGCTCCAAAATAGCCAGAACCCCGGCTATCCTGTCCACTTTCGTCTCCATAGTGCCCAGCAAATGCCTGGGCAAAGTAGGCGATCAAAATATATTTGATAAATGGATGAATAGCTGTCACCAATTCAATGACACAGTGTCCCTTTTGCAATCCAGACCACTCCTGCCCTAACACCTGACACGCCCTCACTAATACAGAAGCCACTGTAGTCAATTCTTCAACGTATCACTGCACTAACTTTCACAGCTCTGCATTCAAATCTCTACTCTGGAGAACCGTTTCCAGATAACTTGGCTAACGAGGGCTCCTGGCAGGAACAAAGCCACACAGCTGCCCTATCACGCCACCACAGCAGCCCCGTGCAACCCGAGTCTACGTGCAGCTGCCTTCATGTCAGCTGCCTTCATGCCTCCACCGGTATCAGCCACTGCAGAGTAGTATTTTGAAAAGGAATGTGCAGATCTGAAACAAAACACGCACAGCCTCCTTGGAGTTCTGATCCAGCATGGCAAGCCAGGAGCTTGAAACGGCTTCTTTACGCTATATCCTAGCACAGAAACGCACAGGCCCCACCTTCGCCCACACAGCACGCGACACTCTGATCAGACCTGTGTTACACCCCTCCTCAGCTGCTGCAGAACTGTGTCCATGCTGTGCCAACGAGTTTGACTTAATTATGGACTCAGAACTAGAGGAAATCCTGGCTTTGCTCAGGAGTTCACAGGTTCCTTTCTGCTGAGCCTCACTCCCCAGCAGCACAGCCCCTAACTGTAGACCTGGATTATGACCACGGGGCCATTTTTAAAGGGCAGATGCCCAGCTGCTTGGGGTTCTTGAGAGAAAAGAAACAAAATGAGCCACTCATGACCCCTTAGTGACCTTTCTGACCCTAGAATACACACTAACTCAGACTAGGGGTCTCTGGGTGTTATTCCATGTCCCACAACTCGACAACTGCCCACTACCGTCTTAATGGCATCCCTAGATGACAACCTCCTTAAAATACCCCCAAAGTTCCAGTTTGAGCCATAGCTCTGTACATCCCTCCATACCTACCCAGACACTCCTCTTTTCTCATATTTTTAGCTTTCCTAACTTTTCCCAGGTCTTTGGGGCCAACACAGGCAATGGCTAGAGTCCCTCATCCCCAAGCAAGGCTGTGTACCCCGAGGTCCCCATTCTTGATCCCCAGACTCCATGCCCATTGCTCTCTTGGGTCGCTCATTGGCCAGAGGCCAGAGGAGTGGGTTTGGTGCCACCTGCTCGGAGCACCCCTCCTTGATCCCTGCAAATTTCCAGGAGGCTAGGCGGGGGG